CTAAGTGTTTTCACTCTTTACGTTCCCAGACAAGGACCTGAAGACGGAGGGTTTCAGCCTGGAGAGCTGCAGGAGCATGATTGCTCTGATGGACGTATCCTTTGTATCGAGTGCATCGGGCTGGCTGTGTTGTCTGTAGGAGGCACAACCTGCCGAGACCCAGGCAGGGTCTGTGATGGATGCTCATGGGGCTTAGGCCTCATTTCAGTCACAAAACAGTGACATTTGCTTTTAACCTCTAACTTTGTGTGGTTTTAAGCAGTCTGTGTGTTTACTTTGGCAAGTTTATGATTTTTTTCCCCATTTCATTTGGCTCAATTTACCTAACTGAGAAAAACCTTGTTGCACCACTCAAATGTGACAACAGACTGACACGGTACACCGTTTTAGTCTTAACTATGTCTCCTCAGATGGATGGGACCGGTAGACTCAACCTTCAGGAGTTCAGACACCTGTGGAATAAGATCAAACAGTGGCAGGTGAGAAAACAGGTTTCAGTTTATTATTATATCAGAAATTCTAGAATCGTTCTGCAGTAAGCTTCTGCTCAGCCTATTGTCATACATACCGATCATACCCGATTTCTTTCAGGGAATTTTTAAACACTATAACACCGACCAGTCCGGTATCAACAGTTACGAGATGAGGAATGCTGTCAATGATGCAGGTAATAGCATAAAACACAAATACAGCACTGTGCAAAAGTCTTGAACCACATCTCGTTCTGGCTTGTAATTTTTAAAGCGGTCTTGAGCAATAGTTCTTCAGGCTTTCTGAGATTTTCTTTGGACATCTGCAGCTTTTTTATTTATTTTTAGTCCAGTCCTTTTACCGTACCATTTTCAGAGGAATGATTTGTTTGTTTGTTTAGCCACTTAACATTGACCTATGAATCATTCAAGCATAAAAATGCACCCAAGTCAAGGGATGAATCAGACAACTTAGTTGGCAAATGATCTCAGTAGAAGGGGAGCTGTCAAGAAGCTATTTTAAGGAAAGGACACAGGGAGAAAAAGTCATACCAGATACTGACTTTCAAGCTCCTTAGAATTGTACAAACGTTTTTTTCCTTATCATCTATTTCTGTGTACCTGCACCTATTTCCCATTTTCCACTCCAAATATAAAGAAATGAGGTACATTATATGACATATATGAAATTACAGCTTCAACTCATCCTCTAAATGTTGTTGTCGCTGTACAGTCATGTGTCTCATGTCCCGCTCAGGCTTCCGTCTCAACAACCAGCTCTACGACATCATCACCATGCGCTACGCAAACGAGAGCATGAACATCGACTTCGACAGCTTCATCAGCTGTCTGGTCCGGCTCGAAGCCATGTTCAGTAAGTCAGTGAGATGGAGTTCATATTTTGTTTCTGACATTTTAGAGACTGAATAACCTCTGCACCAAACAACAACAAAAAAAGCACATTTCCCTTCTTGTGCCTAAGTGTATGCATTTGAAAGTTTCCAAGGATGCCAAATAATTCAGGTTGAATTTTGGAAAAATGTTGATTCATTGGCTGAACCATACAAAAACTTAAAAGTTAAATAATGAGATGTAATTGAAAGATAGTGGGTCTGCTTATGGTACCTCACCTTAAAGGAAAGTTAACAGTCATGGCCAAAAGTTTGCTACTTCAGTTTTTATTCAAACTATTGTTTTTTTACATGTTTCTAAGTTAGAGTGAAGAACAATCATAAGCATTTTATAATGGCAAATAAATCAAATTTATGCAAAGAGTTCATCTTTACATCTGCAGTTCTCTGGATATCAGCTTATGGACCAAATCCTCATTGATGGCGATCCATTCCTGCTTTATTGGTGCTCCCAAGCTGATCACAACTAGTGGGATTGTGGTCTTTAACCTGCTTTTTAAGGGTGGATTTTCAGGGCTTTTTTGGGATAGTTCTTAAAAAGCCCACAAATTGTGATCAAGATGGAGTGCAGAAAAGGTAGGAATGGATCACCATCAATCATTATGTCCCAGAAGATGATATCCAGTAACCCACAGAAAACTGCAGAAGTAATGAAGAAGTACCTCAACACTGTAAATACTGACTCCATCCATCCATTTTCTTCCACTTACTCAAA